CTGAGAGTTGGCTTAGAAGTCACCAATGGGGCTCCGAAGGGTGTCGATGGGCAAACAAACATAAACAAGGAAGTGAACGCAGCTGAACTTAGCCAGTTGTCTTGTGTATGTGTGTATACTAACAGAAAGTTATATAAACGTCCGACCTACAAAGGGAAAGACGAAATCACCCCTCCACTAATCTTCGAAAGAAGATTAGATGTTCGATAAAAAATTCAATTCGGCCAACATTAAATTGACGGAGACGAGAAGGGAATAAACAATTATTTTCCGTTTTAAAATTTTAGTTTTGTTTTCTTATTAGTCTTCGAGCCACGTCAAAACATCGATGGGTGACCGCTTGGGAATTCCAAATGCTGTAAGGTTGGATGTGCGGTGGTGTAATGGATAATTACTCGGAATTTTTAATCGGAGAGCCGTGTTCTAATTCCAGTTGGGTTCGTTATATTCACTTACGAAAAATACACTTGGCAAAGGTATGAATCCACATCTCTCGCACAGCCGCGGTTTAATTAGTAAGACCTGTATCACTAAACCATTATTATCTAAAAAAACATTCTTACAATCTAAAAATATTTTCTGGCTTTAAATAACTTTCAAAGGGTTAATAAACCGTAAAAACGAATCAATCAATATGAAAATTTTAGTCTTTTCTTCTTAGACGTTATTAACGTAACATTACAAATGGAAATAATTCAACATTGTTATGTTGAATTAGCTGCTTAAGACAATTTGTTGTATTCAACTCACCACATGGGGCATCTTGGTTGACTCTCATGAAGCCATCAGTGCATACGCCTAAAATGATAAATATATATATATTTCAACAATATTCTGCTTTATGGACATATTTTTTTCAAATAAATTTAATTTGAAACAAAGCAACACTAATCGAAAACATTTAAATTTTAAGCAGAAAACTCAAAATAACATTTATAAGATCCACTGAAGTTGTACAACCCTACTCTTTTTATCAAGTCTACATCGTGAAAGCTTTAAATAATTTAACTTAAATTAATATACTACTGATATGCATAAATAATATAATTATGTTAATATTTTTAATATTCAAAAGTAACATGTTTCTCTGGTGTCACAAGTCGTTTACAACTCGTTTGAACTCTTTTAGAAACTTAAAGCATTGGGTTACGTCAATTGTTATGAGACTTGGACAGAAATGTTAAGATATTAAACACAAATAATATTTGCTTAATAACAGCTGGGAATGAAATCAAGTGATTGTATAACTCGAATTTTACTTTATTACTTATAAATTTCATCAGAGCGCTTTGATGTGGTACAATGGTTAGGAAGCTTGTCTTGCTAGAACGATTACGACTAATTAGTGAATTTGATCCTCACTGGCTGCTTCACACTTTCGGCCTTGTGCCACATCTAAGCTACACTTATTGCCTTATAAGTTTCATCATGAACTTTTGACATAAATGAAAACGCGTTCTAGAATAACATGTATATCATTTTGATGACTAATTTTTGAAAAAGCTTCTAAAATATAATATGCATTTCCCCGCGTCTAGCTACCCCTTCCCGGGTGGTCTTGGTATACTCAATACCTTCCCCAGCTATCTTTAATCCCTTCAAATTCCTTGAAGGAAACCCATTTAGATTTTAATGCATCATTTGCATATACATTTTTAATGTAGCTTTTTTTAGTTTTGCATAATTTTGTCTACTTTGCTCAATTTGTGCCCAATTTTACGTTTCATTGAACGCAGACGATCAATATTGTAGAAATTAAACAAAATAGGGCAAAACAAAATAAAAATTCAAAAATAAGAAAACTGCAATTTTATAAAAATATTATCTAAAATATAAAAAATTTGTGATGTTTGTGAATTTATTTTTAAAAAGTAAAAGATGTGTAGTAAAAACGTTTTTTTTGAACGAACAATTAAATTTTTCCATATACAATGAATTTTATATTTTCAGATTTATTATAAAATAATTTTTTTTTTTTATATAGACACGGTTTAGGGTGAGAATATACGTAATGAAGTGGCCAGCTGCTTTTTTTTATTTTACCCCAAGAGCGATGTTACACGTAATTTTCCCAAGAAAAATTAATTTTTTGTTCCGACATTCCATTGATAAACTTTAACGTTTTTAATTTTTTTTCCTCAAGAAACATAAATTATTGTTCCAAATTTATTCATCAATAATTTTAATATCGCTTCCATTGTCGAATTGAAATTTCACCGTAGAATTATTCAGTTTTACTTGTTTTCATTAAAGAATTTTCCAGTTCCTTAGTTGATAGCATATACTTTAAAAAATAAGTTAATATGTCTATTTCTTTTGCTTTTCAATTTGCAGGAGCATTTGTATGTTTTTTTTTTTTTTTGGGTTATAATTATGATCTTTTAATTTTAAATAGACAGTTTTATTTTGAAATGGGTCACCATAAATGGGTTAAATTGGCAGCAGAATTTTTATTTCAGATTTGTTCTTTGGAACTATTGAACATGACATGCCATTTTTTTGAGTTTAAGCTGTATCGTGAAATAAATTGACAATATTTTGACATTCTTAATCAATAGCCTGTATCGTTAACTTTGAATCCTGCAAGTTTTGTGTTTTATTCGAGACCAGAATTCGAAAATCGTTCTTGATAGAGCTCTTTAACAAAATTTAGTCCCTCCTGGGGAGATAGTTCATTCCTGTTTAAATTTAAAACAGCTTTTTTACCAGCATATTGACAAAATCTTCATAAAAGTAATGTTCAAAACACTGCAAATATATATCCCCAAAATGAATAGTTTTTCAAAAATGTTTGATAATATCGATACCGTTTCGTTAAAAGACACTTTTTTCTAGAGTATTTAGGAAAATTGAAATTCAGATATTTTTCATGTTTGGTGGGGTAATCATTTCGTAAATTTTTCCATCCGATCATCCTTGACAATCTTCTCTGAAAATTAGGAGCCTTGGGGTTACTTAAGATAGGTATATAATGTTTTCTTTTGGACTTAATAAATTTCACTATCTGAAAGATTGGGTCCGGAGAAATGAAATTTTGCATTGCCTGTTTTTATTTTTTTCCAGGATTGCTTTTATTTGTTCTTGATATTCAATTCGCCCTCGTTGCATTTGGTGAATAAGATATAGCATAGACTTTTCCAGAGTGTATTATTTTCGCATAATATTTTGAAATAGCAATATGTCATAGAAAAAAAAGTTTATCGACTTCTGCGTACGGTTATATGAGTATACACAAACTCCAAAAATTCCGTTCCGTGAAATTCAACAGGATTTTCTTCGAAAGTTATTTATGCTAAGCGAGAGAATTTTTTTTGCTTTTTTTTTGAAATTTGAATCCTCATCGCCCTCTATAATGTTTTCATTCCATTGAAATTAAAAAACATATATATATATATATATATATATATATATATATATATATATATATATATATATTACGACAAATAAACTGTTTCTTATTACATGACATTTTGCCTTCCGAAGAACTGGTTTCTAGTCGTCTTCAAAGATTTACGGGAGATTTAACAGGTTAAAATTTAGTAAAATGTGTAACTTTCAAAAATAAAACAAAAAAAATTAGAGATAAATAACAACGAGCTTCTAACAAACATTCACGCTAGAGACAAAGGAAAATTTGTGGGGTCCCGATATAAATTAGTCCATAATTGAGCAAGAATTCCGAGACACAACAGTGAACCAGTCAACACTAAAATTAGCAATTGTAGTATTTGTTGTTTAAAAGGTGATAATATATGAACTATATATATATATATATATATATATATATATCAGACGATGACTTAGGTCATATATATTTATTTGGACGAGTTAAATCCTGTTAACAAAATTTACTATTTGGATAGCTTAGATCTAAAAAGGTGTTAATGCAAACTAAAATAAAGAATTGATCTTCTTACAATCCAAAAATACGTTCATATTTAAATATTTAAGAAAGGGTTGATAAATCTAAAAACGAATCATTTCAATTAGTCCAATATTTTTCAGCGAGAAGAGTTGTTTGTGTTGCTATCCAATCCCTGTTAGAGACATCTGCAAAGATATATTTTTAGTTTTAATTTCCACAGGAACCACCTGTGGTTTATGTTTCTGGATATTCAAGATGGTATTTGTATCAGTTTGAACAAGGCGACGATTCAAACCCTCGGTAATGATGATTTTGACCGACTTTAGCACAACCATCATTTAATTCCCTTTTTCAATTCCCCATTTCAGCTTATATTTATGTTCACGGAATATCATATATTTAAAAAAGATTTTGAAAATATATGTTAAAAATGGTCGTGTTCATATCGAAAACAAGTAAACCTTCATGGTGATTCGAACAAGATTAGTTGAAATCAATTATCGATAACATCAAATCATATTAAATCATATCAATAACATCAAGAAAAAAAACCTTCCTGATGTTTCAAACCCGGATCTCATAGTCTGAAATCGTTTCATTCTAACGACTCGACCACGCGCCGTATATTTTATCTTTACAGACGATGAATATCATAACATAACAATTGCCGTAAAGGAATTTCGATGAAGACCTTGGCTGCGTACGGGGAAAGACAAACGGAATAGATTCGTAGAATGAAAACGACATGGTAATATTTTTGGGATAGTTAAATGTGAAACGGTGAAGCCAAGTCTTGCCATTATAAATTATATATATATATGACGATATTTTATATTTATACTTTTATATAGGCCAATGATTTGAAGATCTTGAAATTGATAAAAGAATTGTAGAGGCTATCTGAAGTGACTTGTATTCGTTATAAGTTTAGTAAAACATAAAAAAGATAGAACAGAAGATGTTATGGTAAAATTCGTAACGCGAGGAAAGGAGTTTTATTTTTCTCTCGCTACTAAGGCCATTAAAGCGGCATCACGAAAATTTGCGATTTTTTTATTTTTTGGCATTTCATGTCAGTTTTTTTCTTCATATCTTTGTTATTTAATCCTTTTTTTAATATTTTGCAAAAATTTTTTTACAGAGATGTGGACATGACTGTGATAGATAGATAGATAGATAGATAGATGTTGGAAAGAATTATAGAGATATGAACAGAATGAGATAGATAAACGCATATATATGAACAACTATTTAAATAGATACATATATTACATACATATTACAGAATGAGATAGAGAGATCCCCAAGAACCAGATAGATAGATAGATAGATAGATAGATAGATAGAAATTAACAGAATGAGATAGATAGATAGATTTGAATAGATAGATAGATAGATTCAATGAACAGAATGAGATAGATAAATGCACACATATGAACAGAATGAGATAGAGAGATAGGAACAGAATCATATAGAGATAGATAGATATTTTAGATAGATAGATAGATATTAACAGAATGAGTTTAGATAGATAAATAGATAGTAAATTAGTGGATACCTGAAATTGGGTGGGCAGCTAGTCAGTATTATTGCAGATGCTTGCTCAGACACATTCATTTTTTTGCTCTTTTTACTGCAACTAAATAGCAGACCTTAGTTACAGTTTCTGGAAAAAAAAGTGTTAAAAGCGTGATCAACAATTTGAACAAGCTGAACGACGATGATTTTGGCTTCGTATAATGAGCATTAAATGTTCACAAATTGAACCCAATTTCACTTTAATAAGGCCAATTTTAAAATTTTCGCTGGGTTTATCGATCCATCACTTTTTGACAAATCAACCATGATGAGATTCGAACGGGTCTCATTTTCAGATAGCAAACGTTAGAAAACATTCGGCCACGCGTCCATATAATACATACATGCATACATACATACATGTGAACAAAATGAGAGAGAACGAAATCAGAGAATAAATAGATATTTAAATACTAGAGAGATAAGATAGATTGAAAAATTTTAGATATTTGAATTATATCTATCCGATTGAAATATCTGTCACTAATTAAATCTATCTATAATATATATTTATCTTATATAAATCTATCTATCTAAATTGGAAAGAATTGATTTTGACGATATCGCAAATTTATTTTAAATAGATAGAGGATTAGAATTCAAAAGCAATTATATGGATAGTCTGTGTTTGAAATAAATAACGATTGTTTATTTTTTTAATAGAGCTTTAAAATTAAATCTACCGGCCTACAAATGGATAGAGGAAAACCAACATAAAAAACAAAATGTGCTCTACTGCTTTATTTGAGTTTTTTTATTTTTAAAACCGATATATTTAATGCCTAAAGTTAAAAAACAAACAAACAAACAAAAAATACAGGTGTCTATTATATGTAATATAAGGATAATCAATAAAATATAGCGTGTGAATTTTTTAAAATTGTAGTTAAATAAAACGTATTCTAATATATAAACATATATATCTCTCAAAGTACTACAAGCATTTAAAAGAATCCAATAAAACACCTACAGTAAAATGAAATTAATATGAAAAGCTAGAAGGTGTATATATATTGAATGATATGTCCTTTGTACTTATATATAAATATATATATATATTTATATATAAATATATAAAAAAAAAAGATTACTAAATCAGAGAAATTAATTATTTATTTTTGCCGTCATTGTTAAAAAAATTTTACTTAAATAATATTTAAATATAAATTTTTTAAAAAAAAAGAACCTCGTAATAATATATACTTATACTTGATTTGAAAATAATTTTACATACTGTAAGTGATTCTAATACATTTACTTGTTTTAAAAGAAATATAGTATATTAAAAAATAAAAAGTGAAAAATTTTTAAAAATCGTAGTTAAATAAAACGTATTCTAACCTAAACACCCCCAAAAATCTTTAAATATACAAATATAAAAAAAAATGCCGTAAGAATTTTTGCCGTTAACAATAATTTTTTAAAAAAAAAAAATCCAGACGACATGCATTTAACGGATGTCAGATTTCATTGAAAAATACATCCCTACCCCTACCAAAACGTAACTAATAACTGATACATCAAAATACAGCGATAATGAACACGCAAACACCCCTTGTCTGGATGAATGGATTTCTCTGTATCCTTGGAAACGTGAATTATGATTTTTGCTGTGTCTTTAAAACCCAGTAATTTTAAAAGTTACTCCAAAATTCGCTTGAGGATGAAATGGAACTAATGTCTTTAATTTAATTACAAAATTAAATTCAAAGCTTTTAGCTTCCATTTTGAAACATGGTTAGAACTGTGTAGCGAAAAAAAACATATTTTAAATCAATTAATTTATTATATATATATATATATATATAATATATATATATATATACAACAAATTTGTTCGATGAATCATATTTTGTAAAAATAAAAATATTGTATAATGTAAATATAAAACCGGAATAAATACTTGTAAATAAACACTAATTTTTGTTAAATTCTTTTATATATAAATTATAGTTTTCATTAAAATTCTAAAAAATAGTATACATTAATAACAGTGCCAAGAGAAAAACTGTCCTTTCAAATCACCGTTTCTTTTTTGCCGTAGATTTTTTGAGTTTCCTGTCTACCATGCGTAAGGTTTAACCTTGATACTATGAAAAGGTGGCGGACGTACACGGCAATAGACGAGGAAAAGAAAATGATTAATAATCATTAATGTCATTCATAATTAAAAGCTATAAGAATCTGAAAACTGAAAATGTTAATCGCTCCACTGATTTTTTATTCCAGAGAAATCTTGCAGAAATTTACCGACATATAAAGACCACGAATCAATAGTGTCCTCTAAGGAGGAAAATTAATTAGTTTAATGAAAATTTAGTTTGAAAAAGTGTTCTAATTAATTAACAGAAAGAAGTAGTTAAAAAGAACTATTTAGTTATGAAAAAGGCCCGAAACGGGATAATTTAATGTCAATCAATAAAGATTTGAATAAATTAATTACAGTTTTGAGGCGAAAGATTTAGAAACAAGATTGAAACAGTTACTAAAAGAACACGGAAAAAGCCTCATAAAAAGGACAAAAGATCTAGTTATTAGCAAAATATAGGTTGTTATTAAGTTTGTTACCCCATGCAAAACATATGCAAGAATTGAAACAGAAGAAAAAAAAAAGGAAAAACAAAATAAAAAAAAAAAAATATTATTTTCTGATAGGTCCATATAAATAAAATATATTTTTGAATTGGTCAATAGACGCGAATTGATAATTGATTCTGCTATCAGAAATCCGTCTAAATAACAGAATGATTTCCTCAAACCCGAAAAAATAGCAGAACTATGATTCGGCAGAAGGACATTCGAAGTCTAACGTGCTGTAGTCTTCGTCGTTGTGTCCGATAAAAGACATGCAATATATTTTAGATACATCTAAATGTAGTTTTATACATATGACGATGTGGATGTGTTTTGAGAATATCGGAGTTTTTTTTCCGGTCTAGTCATGCGTCATTTCAGTTATAAATCATCAACCAACGAATCTATGGTTAACTAAAATAAGTTAAGGTGTATTAAGAGAAATAAATTTTTAAAAAAAAGGATAGGGTAACAGTTATTGATTCCAGCTGGAATAGGGGAAACAAAAAAATAAATAGTCAATAAATTTTACACGATGAGGTTAATTAATTTTAATAAAAAAAATATAAAAAACTGATTTCAAAATATGTAAAATCTTTCAATAAAATTTTTACAACATACACAATATAATATATATATTATATATATATATATATATATATATATATATAATATATATATATATATATATATATATATATATATATATATATATATATATATATATATATATATATATATGATTTGAATAAATATGAATGATTAATATGCGATCCACAAAGTTTGCTTGATTGCACCTTTTATTAACGACAGAGAAACAGGTTCGAATCTGCCAGAGAAAAAAGATTTTTTTTCTTTAATAAGATTTCTCAAATATTCAAGAAGTAGACTAGAATAAATAATCTGTTTAAAAATATGGGCATCACGACACAAAAATAACTTTTAAAATTTTATATATTTATATATATATATATATATATATATATTTTATATATATACAACATGTTATATTTATTCAAAAACGTTTAGGCATTTGCTTTGGTATGTAATCTGTTCATCTGATAAATCGACAACGTTTTCCATGTCTCGCCGGACATTTCATGCATCTATCAAAATCAGTAAACTTGAAAATAAACTTTTTTCGAGAAAATGAACGTCCTGAACATTTGGTTAGCACGTTGTATTATTATTATTATTATAAGCGTTATATTTAGTGTGTACGCATGTTTTAGTTGACAACTGTGCCTTTCTTAAATAGGATAATTGAGCATTGATTTGTTCTTACGGTTTCCCATAGCTTAATGGTAAAATACGCTTGGCTTGAAAGTGGTTTTCCAGATTAAAAAGACATTGCAGGTTCATTACTATATATTATATATATAATATTTATTTTTTATGTCATTTTATATCATTTTTTATTTGTAGGCATTAATTTCATTGTTAAACAACAACAAAATAGGAATGTTAGCACAAACACGCGTACCCACTAAATATAACGTTTATAGTAATATGAAATTTTGTCGGACTAAAATAATCGTTAACTGCTGAAAAATTACATAGGCGGACATATATGTAGCCGTGTCATGGAGATATATTAAATAATTTATTTCTAATGAATTGTTCCCATAAACGTTATTTACAAACATTGTTAAGCTAAGCTTATATATATAAAATATAAACCATCATTTGTAAGGTTATGAAAAGAAATGATGAAAGGATGATTCAACACGCTGTCAAATTTTTAAAGTTGGGAAAATTTTGGTTTTCAAAATAGGCATTCAAATTACTTATGCCTATATTTACAATATTAACCCTTGACTATAAAATTTATGAAAGACAATAAAAAAAACTGATTGCATCATTAGTAACGTGTGAATAAAATCATGTGTGTGTGTGTGTGTATTGTGTGTATGTTTGAGAAAGATACATCGGTTTTAGAACGAAATTTTCATAAAGCTTAAGTTTCGCTTTTTCACTTTCAAACAAGTATTTTTAATGAAAAATATTAATCCATTTTATTTAACCCATAAGAATACATTGAAGAATCGGGTGGATTGAGTTCTTCAGATTGGTTGGCAGTCAATTTAGGAGAAGGATAACTCTGAATTTCAAATTATTTTGCATGGAAAAGCAACATTGATCGGAATTAAAAAGCCTAGCGTGTTGAGAGCTATGGCCTCAAACGCTTCAGTAGAATTTACAGGACTTGAGAGTTGAGTGATTCCTATATATAAATATATATATATATATATATATATATATATATATATATATATAAACACTGTTTGAAAAAGAATCCATAAATTCATTTAAAAAATCTCGATTTGCACGGATCAATGAGAAAATATGATACAGAGTACACAGATACTCTCCTCTGAGGTTACCCAATCGGCAATAAGTGGCTATTGAGTGAGCTTTTGCTGATCGTATTTAAAAAAATAAAATGTGCATCAATTTTTCCTTTGAAATTTGGCGTGGAAATAATAAATACAGCCATTTTTTTCAGAACTCCTCGTATATTTTTTGAAAGAACTATAAAAAAATTACACAGAGATTCACAACCAGTCTTAGGGCCATTTAAACTAGTTTACGGAACCAGTCATTGGAATTTCTCTTATCGTAACGACGAAAAATATGGATGTTTTGTATTTATTGTCACTTTAGCGTTAATAAATGATTAAACAGATTTTCGTGCTTCAAAAGAATTCATTATTGAGTAATAATTGTCGATTCGATGTTATTTGAATGGGACATTTGAAAGAAAAAAGCAAGGCATATTTGAAATAGAATTTTAGCCTATTGTTTGCTGAAAGATTTCATTTTTCACAATTGATCACAAATCTTGTGAAACCTATTGGGTCAGTAAAATTAAAATAATATTAAGGACTAATTCTTAATGTAAATAATATTAAATTTCAAATGCATGCTGATTCTCTGCTCCAGAAAAATATGTTACATTCATTCAGTGAGTTTAAATTAAACATGTACGGACTAAAGTTTAAATTTGGTTACGTTGTTTTCGGAATGATGGGGAAAGACATGCACCAAAGATATGAAGGGGTATAAATAAAGCCAGACGAAAGCAGAACAATTAGATAAAACCAAGTGAACATAAAGATTGTGATAAGCGCACCACTCTTTTTCCAAGGCGCAAACTTGAGAGTGTGTGGCGTGTTTCGATTTGGCACTTCACTGTAGATTCACCGCGAGATGAGGAATTAATTATTGACCCATCGAGAAAACATCTGTAGGAATCTGGGAGGTTGGCTACCTAAAGTTTTGCTTTGAGCCAATGGCAGTCGGAATTTAGAAGCGAATGTGTGTGTTTCACTCTTGGTAGAGGGCACTATGGTTAACTAGTCTAGAAGGAAAGACGAAAGATATGTTGAATTTGTAAAAAGGCAACTCTCCTCGAAATGCATGAGCGATAGGTGCCTCTTCTCCCAGGTGATCAGTAAAGTTGACATAACAGCAGTGGGGAAGCAAAAGCGAAAGTAAGCAATCTTTCTACGAAGTCTAAGTAGATTTTTTTGCCTAAAAAATCTTCTTTAAAAGCTAACATTTTTTCTTTTATTAAGAGATGCGGCAAAGTTCTAGAATTATTTATTAATATAAAACAGAGTCTGTAAAATCCAATGTGATTTCGTTTGTTCTTTGATATTGTCGTCTTTTTTAACAAACGAATTAATATCCACCGACCAAAAAATGGGACCTACAATATATATATATATATATATATATATATATATATATATATAGAATTTTATAATAAAATGAGGATATTTAAATTTTTAAACGACCGAATGTATGAGTATTTACATTAGTCGAACTATTGTCCTCATCTTTGTCGCCATATTTGTCACAACGTTTCGGCCGTTGTACGCTCCGGCCTTCTTCAGGTGGTTGGGATTTCGAACTGAACCCTTTATTTCGATCACTGGGGTAGACTGTTCTAGTTCCACGACATGGAACTAGAATATGGCGACAAAGATGAGGACAATAGTCCGACTAATGTAAATACTGTACATAATACCTCATCTCAGAAATATAGACAGACTCTTAATACCGAATTTTATTGTAAGCATTAATCTATATATAAAATTCTGTGACTTCCGTCAGTCCGTCACACACTCTAACATAGCCATACATTGACCGAGCGAAACCAAATTTTTTTTTGTGGGGGGGGGGAATAGTGCAAACAGATAAGTGGGTACAAAATACAGTTGTTTCTATTAGGATGCGTAGCTTAGTACAATAAATTTTTATTAATTTTCAAACAAATCAGTTTATTCAAATTTCATCGATTGGTTTGCTAAATTGAACGAAACGTAGAGTTTGTAAATTTCGACAAAAAATGTTAGCGATAATTTCAACAATACTTTGAGGATTACAACACGCGTCAGCGTATTGCAACAAATTCAAATGGCTTAAATTTAGTCAACATGATACACGCACGTGTAAACACGCATCGATTTATTCGTCGCTATTTATTTTTTTTTTTATATTATTTCATAAAAGACAAGTATGTCAGGGTCGCCTTAGAAGGAGAAAGGCCCCACGACAAACAAAGTCGAAGAAAGAAGTTTCTTGAGGGATTTCATTGTTGTGCTATGCTCGTCTAAGATGAATTTCGATTTTTTTTCAAATTGTATACAGTTTATCGAATGTCACCATAGACACTTCATGTTAGGATTCTAATAACTATTAGTGTCTTATCAACTTCAGTTTTGCTAGTATAAAAATTCTAATAGAACATAAATATATTTTTAAATATATTTAACAAAGTATTTTATATTGGCTTCTAAAACTAATCAAGTCATATTCTATGCATTGTGAGTAAAAGTTGAACCGAGATATAGATAAGCCCATTTTAAATGGCGCTTATCAAAATGGCCATTCAAAATGGCGCTAGTAAAATGATTAAAAAGTTTTTTCTTTTTACACCAGGAATCGAATAATATTGGTTTTGAAAATTTTTCCTTTGCCATTTTTTTAAAAGTAAATTGTAAATTCTTAGTAGAAAGGAAATGATCCTTCCGAAGGTTTTCAAAATATGACGATGTCAACCTTAAAATGAAAGAAAATATTTTGAAAGAAAATAACCCTTTTAACTAAAGTTCAACGATAGGATGATTACTGGAATTTAGGCCGATTCACTTCCCACATGAGGCCTTAAAAATGAGTCTTATTTATCAATGGGTGGGGACTAAAAAAATGCATTAGTTTTGAGTTTTAAGACGAGGATGGTAAAGTTGATTGCATGAACAAGCGTTGTATGAAACATACTTCGAATATATTGAATACGCATTGGATTTTATAGACAGGAAAATTTCGGAAGGAATCCTAACAATAAATTAATTTAAATAATTAAATCTGATTTTTAAAATTAATCTAATAATTATATTTTAATTTAAAAATCAATTTATATAATTAGTGTTTAATTTTTTGTCAGGTTCAAGGGCAGCGAGTGTTATAAATTGGAACCTAAGCAAAATTACACATATAACAAATGCGTATTAAATTAGTAGGCATTTATCGATCTAATTTTTAAAAGTAGTGCATTTTTAGGTTTTAAGAAATAACTTGTAAGTTATAACAAGTGGGTTATGTCGCAGTCTTAAGTATGAATCGACGTCCTAGAAATAAAGGTTGATTATCTTAAATTACTTTAATTTGAAAAAAAAAAAAAGCGGAAAAAAGAAAAGAAAAAGATAGATCTGTCTAGTCAAATCCGTACAAATACGTATTCAGCTGTAGACATACGATGATTCATTGTCTCAAAAAACAATTTCTTTCAAGCCAAACATCCATACTAAATTACAATAAAGAACAAACTGATTAAAAGCAGAGCGACCGCAAAAATAGGTCTGGGCTAAGGCCAAAAATACTGCGAAATGAAGAAATTTAAAAAAGAAATCTTAAATTATAAACTAGTATTTTGAGAGAGCAATAAATCTAATAGAAGTAATTTAGGTTCATTAAAAAACAAGGTTTGTTGTTCCGCTTTCGTCTTGCTTTATTGATAATACAGAGAGGAACCGTTGGACATTTCAAACTTAGCATCTAGGGTAGATGATGTAAGAGATCTCACAGAAACCTAGTTGATAATAAGCTGATATTTATCTTAAGGAGATATAAACATTACCCATTATCTACGATCCTACCTTTAGGCGTATGTATCTAATATTTATTTTCTCATAGTTACAAATAATTATTCACAACTGCATATGGATAATATGTAGCTAGTGAAACCTGTGTTCCTTCTTTGCTTATTAAAAGTGTGTACACAAAAATCATTAACTGACTGTCGCGATATTCAAACTATTAGATCCGAAGAAATAATGTTGGAAGCTAATGTTGTCTACCTAGCGACAAAGACGCTCTCCATTTTTACGGAGTAGGTGTATTGTCATATAATATCCAACTGATCCCCTCTATCATGCCTACTTAAGAACAGCACAGAGTACCCAAGGGATACATCGATGGGTACTCAGTTATGTTCTTCCCATTGACCAATCCATGATTGAAAACTGTCAGCGTCGAAATTCGACCTTACCAGTCCTTCATCACTATGGCTTTCTGAATTCCATTGCCACTGATTCTAGAAAAGAACAAGGAGAAGTTGAATGAAAGAGAATAAAACCAGAAGCACAGATACAGAAGAGGAAAATAGAGTAACCCAGATTGATGAAGAAAGTCCGGAATTATTGTTGGGAATTTTCATTTCTGTAATACCAAAAAGAGGGGGGTTTGGTGGAAAGGGAGAGCGCATCAAATAACTGCGGTTGTTGAGAAGTCATTTAACTATTAACATACATCCCAATCCACCGAGAAAAATAACCGTATGTATTCGTTTATAAGTCGAGTTTTGTAGAACAGCCTCTAAATTCCAAAAATTAAGCTTAATATTTTCGTTATGTTGAAACTTGTCTATGACAAGAACACGGGAAGCAAATTTAATGCATTATGTAAATATATTATTTTATATATTATGTACTCGTGTATAAGTCGAGTTATAAGAAATTTTAAAATCTATATATGCTGAGTGGGAAGGAAGAAAAATAATTTATGATAGACAATTTTCTCAATAAAAATAAACGCTATATTAAAATAATTTGGTACTTTGGTAAATTCTTGACTGGAGATATATTGTTTATTGCCATCTTCCCCTTGTAAGTATAATTTTCTGCTTGATTTCCTGAATTTAAGGAAGCGGTGAAGCTGTCAATATTAGGTGGGTGACTGCTTGTAAACAAGTTCTCTAAGTAACCAGTGACAAAACAAACGTTTGTCGTTTGTCAAACTAGAACCAATCAAGTTATGCATTGTACGAATGTGTGATAAAGACAAACCGAGGTATTGATAAGCGCCAATTTAATTGCAAAACGAAAAGAAAAAGTGATTTTCTTTTTGCTATCACTCTATTATGGGAACGAATCAGATTCGTGACATTTTAATAGAATTTTAAGACATTCCCAGAATAAAGCGTCATTGATTATTTGGTTTATAAATGAAGGATTTCCTTTTGTTTACAGGTAATTTTGGTAAGGCATTAAAGGGTAAGGAGTTGCGTTTGAAAGGCAGTTCACCAACAATAACCCCGGTTGTTACTCGTGGCGTGTTAGGGACTGTCGTGTCCGAAGACACCGTAGCCAGTCGCATTCCTTGGAAGCACATGGAGATGAAGAAGAGGAGGAACTCGGTTAAAAGGTGACTTCCTCCAGCAGCGAAGTGGTCAGTTGAAAGAAATCTGAGTCTCTGAGTTGAAGATGGCCATGTTACTCACTGCAATCATAATCAACATGATTAATCAAATCTGTAGTTACATTCTAATTCCTAACAAGTAACAATACAGAACGTATCGAAAACGAAAAGTGAAAATAAAAAAAAAAATAAAGGAACACTGTCACGAAGAGATGCTTTCTATTTTTTTTTTTTTTCGTTAAATTCTGTCCGGATTTTTCCATGAAATAATTTTCAGATGTTGGTCTATGAAAGCTGCCGAAAATTCCAATATAAAGCAATTTCATTATTCTACGAATTATTCGGGCAAATATCTTCATCTTTTTTGTACTCATCGATTCTTCTGTTCCTCATTGCAAGGATATAGTGATGTTCCAATTGTACCGATTCATCTGCCATATTCTGTCCCGGGTGTATATTGCATCTTTTAATTCTTTTGTCAATTTTTTTCAAAAACAAATTCTGACCTCCTCCCCGTTAGTAAGAGTTCACAAATCTGAGCGACATATTCAAATTCAGTAACCAGAACTATGTATAACTAAAAGACGTGTTTCTTTTGTCTGATCTTTTTGACAAGTAGAGAGTATAACCTGCTTTAGAATCACATTGGGTAAATCATGGGTCGAGGATAGAAAATTATTGCCTACCAAGTGTTTTATTTCGCGGGCCATCAAAATTGATGAGTGGCACAGAAAACTTACGAGTTGTCCTTAAATAGAATTTTTAATTCTCGTGACATCGATTACTGTCAGTGGAAACTGCTGACACCCACCAAAAAAAAAAAAAAAAAAAAAAACAACAACAAAAAACAAACTAAAAGGGTGAAAAACGTTTTTCCTAGCATTCTATTGGGTTGGCCAAAAAGTTCGTTCGCTTTATTAAGAAAAATGTCTACTTAATAAGTGAAGAAAATTTTTGCCCACACCAATATTTTTTTTTTTTTTTTTTTAGAAAAATGGTAGTCTGTTATTTCAAATAAAATATTATATATACCAAATATATATATATATATATATTTTTTTTTTTTTACTAAAATTCTCCCAGAGCGAGGCTTTTCCCTTGCACTCTGGGTGGTTTGACCTTTGTGATTGACCGAAATATGGGCGACTCGGGTGCACTCTTTAAGTGTGGGGGTCTACATTCGCGTTCAACTGATAAACAAGCTTATGAAAAGGTGCATGCGTCAGCAATAACCAACGAAAATGTTACTTTGGTTTGTTCACACTGGCCCAAAATGTGTGAAAGGAATTAATTCATTTGTATTTGATTTGTTCAGGTGATTTCAAGGCGTGGCCCAATCAGATGGAATTTGATCCTTGCAATGTGGGGGCACCTCGAAGTAATGTAATGGTTATCAAGCTTGTCTCGCTAGAACATTTACGATTGAGTAGTGACTTCGATCCTCATTGGGTGCCCCATACTTTCGGTCTTCTGCCACATCTAAGCTACGCTTGGAAAATCACTAGATCCTTGCAATGAGGAATTGAATAAAAGTGTCTGAAGCAACTCAAGCAGCGAGTGAGTGGCGGGGGGATATTCACAGAAGGAATTCTGAAACAAATCGATCGAGTTACTTTCGTCGCAAGTCCGAGTAATTCATAAAATAATGGATTTATAAGGTTTCATTACGTTGTCTTAGTTGAAGCAAGTGTTATGTTGGTTGTAAATGTGACAGTTTCATAGGTGCCTCGGAAGTGAAATTTTTCTTATTCAAAGTCATTTATTTTGAAAAAACAAAAAAAATTAGTTCCTTTAAAATATTAAAAATTTCAGATATTCGACAGCATCTCTCGTAACTTTGGCATCAATGAAAAGCAAGAGCATCCAATATGAAAATTAAAATCAATACGTTTTCGTATTTTTCAACTTCGCATCAGTTGAATTTTTAAAAAATAAAATAATTTTAAGTTAATATCAGCAAAATATGAACGCATGTTAGTTTTAACTTTCGCGTAAAAAAACGTTTTAGTTAATGAGACAACCGACATTTTTTAAAGCCAATTTTAATAAAAAAAGAATAAAACAGTAACAACTTGCAATTAGATTGTAATAGATTTAAAAGCATTAATTTAAAAAAAAAAAATGCAATTCATATTCTTTTATTGGTTGAATTGGTCAACATCAGGTACACCTGAGTATTTTACCCCGGTGAAGATTTTTTTTTTTTTTTTGAAGCAGAAATTTTGAAGCCGGTGTTTTTAATATATAAATACGAAAAGTCAGTTAAAAAATAAAGAAAATTTATAAAATGGAACTGGATTTGTAAACCAAATTCCAATAAAATCGGTTGTGTCTGTCTTCCTCGTCACAAAATCTTCTTTAACAAAAAATCTCAATTTCTGGTATGAAGCGTTATGATTATTTACATTCGGACTATTCTCCTCATCTTTGTTGTTATTATATCAACATTACAGCCGTTGAGCCTCTCGGACTTCTTCGGGTGCTTGTCGATCTGGTTAACCTTGAAGGAATTCCGAAATGAACCATTTATTTAAATCTACAGGACAGATTGTTCTCATAAGAACAAGACAAGATATCCCTAGACATGGATATTGAAATGAGAACAATCTACCTGTTCGAAACTACTTTAAGGTTACTCGAATCGACAAAGAACCTTATGAAAGCCGGCAGCTACAGCGAGTGAAACACAGAGAATGACAACAAAGATGACTATAATAGCCCGAACGTAAATAACTTAATAAAAAAATCATCATGATTATGTCGCCTCAAGTGAGGAACTTCCAAACTTTTTCAGTTGATGTTGCCAGTAGAGATTATTTTCATTCAAGGATCCGAAATAAGTTTACAAATAAACATACCCGAGGTGCCTAATAGACGGGGTGGAGGTCCGTTTATTTATTTGTTATTTTTTTTTAATGAAAATTTCCGACTCCTTTAAGTTTACTGACCACTCGGTTTAATTTTCACTAATTGAACGTTTAAATTATTTTCCGAGTTCTCCTTTTATTAAGACCATTTGTTCAAGTCCCCCTATTATTAGGCACCTAATGATAGGTACTTTTTTTCTATTTACTAATTTAATATAATTTTTAAAATAACTTTGAATTTAATTTTCACAGAAACATAAGCTTTTATCCAGCTGAACTTCATCTGAAGCACTCAGTGGAGATTGAACACTTGACACAGTGCTGAGGAACTAACAAGACGAGTTTAGTATATATCTAAATGTGGTAAGATGTGACACATTGTTGGTACACGTTTAGTCCTTATACGCGCACGTATGATGCCAGAGGACTCGTTTCGCAATGTTTATCATTGTAAATTATAATAATTGCTGCACAAGGCCAAAAAGACTCTTTTTTTCCCTCTGATGTTCCCTCGCCTATGCTTTTTTTTTTTTTTATATCGAGTGACTGAAGCTCGGAAATTTGCATAAGCCACAAATTTGTCTCACAAAATATGAGCTCCGAGACTCGGTTGTTAAATTGTAGCTTTTGGATCGGTCATTTTTTTTTTGTCCAAATGTCGTGCACGCGAGGCACCTGTAGTTTGTTCCAGGGTGTAAACCTCCCCACCCCCGGCTTCTACAGAAATCACCGGCGCTTCACCATAGAACAGTGGTTTGCAAACTGGTCTATGGAGATTTCGATCCTTACAGCGTAACTCACGCTTTTGGCATTGTTTCAAACACAGTAAGTTTAAACTTTAGTGGATTTCTGAGTTATTTACTAAGGTTAGCCTAATTTTGGCACAAAGCCACACGTATAGGACGTCCAGCGAGAATCGAACTCACTGGCTCGATAACCATTGCTTTATACAAAGGTCTCTTATCAATAAATATTAAATTGATGCAAAAAATGATCATATTTTGTACAATGTTGTCTTGGAAGTTTATTAAAATTCCGAGAAACATTTTCATTATTCATTTTTGGCCATTTTTTTCTCTTATTGTTGCTTTTTATCACATCTTTGTAGATCGAATACCTTCGCACTGTTGAAATATCTAGAATAAGGTAATGTTGTAGCGAGACTGTGGCTGACGCTTTACCCAATTCGATGTTGGCCATTAAACTTTAGATCTGTACCCACATCTGATAATAGGCGAAAGTGTTCAAATTGGCTAAGGCATTGTCCACGAAAGACAAGCCCTAGAGATACTGCTCTTTGAGCTGAAGTCTCGCCGGAAGGAATAAACAGAACATGAAATGTGTTCGCTTTCAGGAACTTTCTGATTTTCAAAGTTTTACCAGATTGTACCTGCAGGTAAAAAATTAACAATGAAAGTACGTCACCTCGGAATTTTAAATAACGCTCTTTGATTCAAATTTATTCAGTTTACATCTAAATTGTAAGAAATCAATGACATCCTCCTGAACGCAGAGAAAAGCATATTCAGGAAATTGGAAATCAGATTTAGACAATTACTTTTTAAATTGTGGCATATTTGCTTTTGAGAAGCAAAGTCTGAAAAGTGCATTTGCACTCAATAATCATTGTACAATGTCTTTCACTAGAAAGGATTTGTACAAATGGTGCTTGTGGGTCAGAAGACTTATCAAAGACAATTGAAATCCAAAGATGCTTACCTTACTTGCCAAGTGCAGCGCATCACGGTAGCCATACCAGACTTGAGTATCATTGCTGTAGGTGACGTTGAATTTCGTAACCCAGTGTTTTCGACGTGTATCAGCTCGACCCCTTACAATAATTGCAGTAATCAAAGTTGGAGGACCGATATCAATTTGAAGCCATTGGTTTTCTGTGAAAGAAAAGATAATACTGACAATAATAATATTATTAAAAATAAGACAAAACACTCCACCAAAAAGAAGCGGCAGAGCACCCCCCCCCAAATAGGGGGAAGCGACAGAGCGTGCCTAAAAATACAGGGAAAAGAAATCTATCACGGAAACTCGAACGAAATGCATCAAAACGATTTCTGCAAAAAAAAAAAAAAAATTGACAAACACTGTTCGAACATTGTATGTGGAAAAAAAAAAAAAAAAAAATGGAAATTGCAAATCCCATAATTGAATAAAACTAACTGGCTCAAAAGTAATATAAAAAATAGGAATGACTGGATAGGAAGAGATTGAGAACTGTGCAAATGATTTGAGTTCGACCATTGTAAACAAATGTTATCAACTGAAACCATAGGCCGAACGAATAAGAATAAAATACTCTGGAATGATTTCATCTACACTGATCAACACATTCAAATAAGAAACCCAAACTTGTTGGAAAGCCCCCCCCAAGAAACAGTCTGATAGAGGAAGGCGAGAAAACTGAAAAAAAAACAACATAGCAGTTGAACAAAATGATTAAGATTTTGTCCAGAATAATCTGTAAAAATGGGAACCATACCAAAACATGAAAAGGTGAAATTGAATGAATTGAAAATTTGAGACTGTCTAGACCACAAAACATTGGAGTTTACACAAATACTGAGGAAAGTGCTGGAGATTTGGAATCATTCTATCACTCAGTCTTTCTCCCATTTATCGTATGTGAACACACAAATGCATAAAAACTAGGTAAAGAAAATAACTTACTATCTTGTTTTTTGGAACACCAAGCTTTGTTGCTGAGAATGTTTCCATCTTCTGGTTGACAGGAACTCTTTCGTCTAAAGGACAAATTTGACGATGCACTCATCTTTCCGTAAGGAGGCAAACCGATTGGTTCTTTACATACTGAAATATGCAAGTTGATTTTCAAGAATTACTATACAAGAAGAATCTTTATTTTCTCTAAGCAATCGAATGGAAAATATTTACTTAGTTACAGAAATACTAATCTAGATTTAAATAACATAGGTCTAGTGAATACATTTTTGTTAACGGATACATTCTTTATTTGTATATGAATATGACGGCAAATGAATCAACATCTGGGCAGATCACGTGTCCAAAATGCATCCCACTCGACTCCCGTCCTGGGTATGAAGATAAATTACATCCGCGTCCTGGGGGTGAAAATAAACTACGTCCAACAGCAAGGCCTCTGATCAGGATGTTTTGAGGAGCGTGGAACCACCTCTTAATTGTTGGTGTTCCAGGTCCACCCTGACCCAGAGTGGTAGCACTCGTTAGGGTCCCAGCTATGGGCAAATAGTTAACCCCCAAACTGGGGTCAAAATACTATGAAAATGTAAAAATAGGTTTTAATGCCAGAAACACTTTGTAAAATTACTTACACTGACATCCGAGAATTTCAACGCGCATACTTGGATGTCTATTCCAGCTGACAGTGTGGAATTTGATATATCTTGCAAGTATTGGTCGATCGAAGTATGAATGTTTTACCGTATAAGCATCAATGTTTCCTTCAAAAACCTGCAATGCAAACAATTGGAAGAATTAGTATAAAAAAAAAACAAAACAAAAAAAATCGATTCATTAAGAATAATCAAATCAGTAGCAATATTTGAACAAACTGTCTCCGCTCGATTTTGATCTCAGTGTCCACTTTTATAATTACATATGCTCTTTCCCGGAATATATGTATTTGGGGAAAGTGTGACAGTGAAAAAGGTTTCGTGTAAGGACTTCATAGGATTAAGTTTATCTTTACATTGATGTAACTACATATGTGAGAAACAAAAGACGCTGAAAAACTTAAATTTAAAAATAATTTAAAAAAAAAAGTGCTTTGGATATATAATCTAGCCGATTTTATTTAGATTTCGATTAAGTATCCCACACTGTGATAATAGAAAATCTGCCAACTTTCCACTTTATCTCACTTCTTTCCCCTAAAATTGCTCTTGATATAAAAATGATATACCGTTATCCTATAGTCATCCACAGACAGATTTTTTTCACTGTATCACAGCTCTTCAGTGTGGCTAGACATCCGATCGCTTCAAGCCGGGGTCGAAACCCAACTGATTTGGCATCCGTCTGAAATTCTACCGCCAAGCTATCGTCGCACGGCAGAGAAGTAAATCTTCTAACGTTTTTGCTATACGAAAGACGTCAGTGGCTAGAAGAGCTCAGTTCGAGTAGAAGAGCATTGCATTAGCAGCAGCAGTGACGGTTTATAAAATCACCCCTTCCTCTCCGAGACCTCAATCGAATTATTTCGAGGGCATAAATAGTCATCCACAGAGAGTATATCAGTATATTTAGCAAGTATTCACCAAATCAAGTTTTTATTAAATTCATCCGAAAAATAGGGTCTGTTTAATATATTTTTTTGCATTTTTTCCAATCTTTGAAAACGTATACTGGGATCGAAATTGTGGATGAACTGTCTGAAGAAAGAAATTAATGACATAATGTCAATAATAATTGTATATTATTATGGATTAAATAAAAACCTGAGAAATCTTCTGATCATACTTATATGATTATATATATATATATATATATATATTAGCCACTACAAAACTGTACATCTTGTTTCAACGTTAAAAACTTAACGTTTCTTCAGGTGGGAAACCATGGTGGTACTAAAATATTTTCTTCCGAAATACAGTTAACGAAACACAACTCCAAATTTCGTCTTTGGAAAATTTTCCATAAAAGTTAAAAAGGATTTATATATGGAGAAAGAAAGAAAGCTAAGTGATTAATAGAAGCGAAAGAGGGAAGAAAAAGACCAAGGAAAGAAAGGTTGAGACGAGTATTCAATATTCTCCTATTTGTAAGCAGAAGAAAGTTGAGGATATAAGAGATAGGATGTAGATCAATACATTTCAGTTTAAGTCAAAAAAGAGGAGGAAGGCGAGAGAAACGAAGAAGCAATAAATTCAACCAATGAAATTCCGTTGAATCAGAATTCAAATTTAAACGGTAATGTAGCGAGTTAGATTAATGTTTCTATGGCAAAAATTTCCTACGTTCAAAGAAAATTTATCAATGGAATGTATAGGAGTAATAGGATATTTAATAAAACAGACTTTAGAATATAAATTAAAATACTAAACAAATTTTAAACCTTTATTTTGTTATATTAATTATACTTAACAAAACTAACTTTACAGTATGAATTAGAACACTAAATACATTTAAAACTTTTGTATTATTTTTTTTTTATTATAAAACGTGATTAAAGAGAAAAATAATATACGTTTTCGCGTATTATGTGACATTTGAAGGTCTAATTTTGAAGCCAATTTTTAAGGGGTCGCATTATACACGTGGTATAAAATTAGCGTATGTACTGTTGGCCCTAGCTACGCTGTTGAACAAACTAATATATCCATTTATTGTAGTCAAAGGTCGCATGATACGTGAGTGTATATTTACATAATATATATAATCATTTTCTTTAAATAGCAATGTATATTTATTAATTCTTGAAATGTATGTCATCTGCAATGGATGAAGAAGCAAATCATACGGCAACAAATAAAATTCGGCGTAAAACAAACTTTCAAATTAAATTCTTTCAACATTTTTTTCTCTCTTTCTATTTTGTTTTATCAATTCTACCCCTCCCACATTTCTTTTTCGTTTTCTTCGCTTTTTATGCAAATCGTTTACAGGGACTTCTAAATTCTATTTATAGCTTTCAGTAAATCTTTCACGACCTGAAATTCCGCAAGTGGGTCATTTGTAATCAACGGATCGTGAAAAACGAACGAATAATAACTAATTCAAAGCATTTACAACAAAGCCAATATTAAGAGTTTAAAAATAAAAGCCATACGTTTTCTTTTCTCTCGGTGTTTACCTTAGCCTACACAATAGATGGCATTTTCCTCGGCAGGACTCAATTTCTTTTTTATATATAAGTTTGATTAAAATCTAGTCGGTAATATGTTTGTTTGACTGGTGTTTTAATTATGTTTTTTCAGTTTGCTTATAAGTATTTGCACATCCAAACTGTCCAAAGTTCATATTCAACAGAATGTAAAGTGTGTAATGTAATAGTGTTTTTGGATTTTAGAAGCATATGACAACGTACATTTGCTTAGCTATATTAGTAAAGCTTTAGTTTATAAAATGGAAATTTATATCGGAAAATTGTTACGAGTCGTGTAACTCATCAGGATCGTCAGTAGCAATAACAGCAGTGGTGTTTCTTGGGTAAAACAGACTAACAGAGCCCATCCCTTTTCAGGATGGTTTTGAATTTTTTTCTCCTAAAGAAGTTATCATTTCAAGGAAAAAGAGCCATCTGTCCTGCTATTTAACCCATAGCTGGAGAATGATGGATTTATGCTTTTTACAAGGGCATTAGATTAGAGCGATATGAACGACATAGAATCGAGCAGGAATTGAATGCGCTACAACGAATTCACTTTCATTAATGATAATCGTTACACTACGACTAAATTAGAAAGTGAAATTTGTTTTGATGTCTATTGTCAGTTTTTGACAAGCCAAACCAATTGTTCTCAGTATTCGAAATAAGATTATAAATATATCAAAGTTCCTATCATGGCTCGTTTTCCATTGTTTTCGTACAGCTTCCGGTCTTTAATGTCTATACGTGTTACATCACCACCATATTTCGATCAGACTCAAAAGGAAAGACGACAACGTCTGTATCTTTTTCATTGTTTAATATTTGGATGGCTTCAATGTAACAATATTTTTGCTCGACTACTTTCAATCATCTTTTGTCATTATCAAAAACATAACTTATTACCGGTTCTCGTACGATCACTGAAGTTAAGCAATGCCGAGCCTAGTCAATAACTAGATAGGTGGCCATTTGGGAATACCACATACTGTAAGCTTGTATGTTAGGGTGGTGTAATGGATCGGAATTGTTAATCGGAGAGCCGAATTCTAATTGGGTTCGTTATATTCACTTACGTGGAAATGCAGTTGGGAAAGGTATGAATCCATATCCCCCCACAACTATAGGTTATTTAGCTTGTCTCACTAAAAGCTTTTTTATCTAAAAAAAAATTAGAATCTAAAAATAAATGATCTGGCTTTAAATAACTTGTAAAAGGTTGTAGGCCGTAAAAACGAATCAATCAAAATAACTGTTATTTGTGCCATAGTTTTTATTAGCTTTATTCTAGATAGGAAACTTAGAATTCTAGTTTAAATATATATGACGTCATGTGTAAGTCGGTTTGTAACTACATTTAAGGGGTACACATTTTAAACAAAAACAAATAAGGGGTCACAGTATTTAACAGCACTTAAGAACGAATATATTCTTTTTTTTTAAAAGCATTTTAAATCCCTTCTCCTGTGTTGAAATAAAAATGGAAGATGAAAATTCATCAAAAAACTCAGTGCCGTGATGTACGGATCCCCTGCTGTTAAAATACAAGATGGCTTCTTCAGCTCATCATCGTCCGTACTTACTAAACTGTTGTTGAAACAATCTGGGGCACGAAAATTCTTATAAATCTCTAAATCTATAAATAAATACTGAGTTGAAATTAGTAAAATCTAATCTAAAAACGATATCATTATAGTAAAAAAAAAAATCCAAACGTGAATCAGGTTCTGTCTCACCAATGTAAATTTGGTCGAAATAAAATTCATTTTTCTGGTGAAGCTGTTTCATCAGCGAAACATGTCAAAATAAGGCCTTTCAAAATTGTCGTATATATTTACCGCAATATAGAATCTTATAAAAAAAATATAACATAACTACAGTGGAAAGCATTTTAAATCTGGATGAACAATCTGTAAGTTTGGTGATTCCATTATTTTTGCCAGTGAGTGTATGTAGGCGGATGAGATTTTTTTGTACATTGTTCAATCTGTACAAGGCCCAAGAGCCACTCAAGGTAGAGGAGTACAGAGTAAGAGGTACAGTTTTGTGGGATACGTGGGGGTAGATAACGGTTAACCCTAGACTTGAACTGACCAAGATTGCAGTGATCGGGGAAGCATCCTCTTGAGAGTCGGTTCAAAAAAGCAGCGGTTCATGGGGAAAACTGCTCGTGTGGAACATGCATCTCACCAATGGAATACGAAGGGAATGTGGGTCTTTCGCTTCAATGTGTGCGGCATGGCGGGTCTTATCCATGAAGGTTACAACTGGTGGAACTAAGGAATGTAGTTCCTCTGAACACTTTCCATGGAAATAGCGATGGAGCAGTAAGAGACTTACGACGTTTCGTCTGTGAGGAAAGTGGATGCAGGTTGGAAAATAGAAGTACAAATTTGTGACTTAGAAAATAGTTCTTACCTTTTGGTTATTGTAGTCATCATGCACATAATGCCATTCGAAAGAATCCATGCTGTAAGAAACCAAAAACGATGTAACCCATTCGACGCCATCACCTCGACCCTGCGTCATCACGCCTGTCACCTGAAAACCATAAAATCAATACTGACATTATAAAGATATTTTTCGAAGGTCAGCTTTCGGACATAACATTCAAAAACTAAATGTGGATCCAGTATTTAGCCAGAGTAGCTTGTTAAACATACCAGACTCATAAACTGAAAAAAAAAAAATTTATTAAGCTTCACCGAGATCAAGACACGGTCACAATGTGAGATTCGAACTATGTATCCTCGAGAATGGTCGAATAGAAAATATTGGTAACTCAAAGATAAGATTCATATTCATAGATCTATGAAATAAAGCTCGGTAAATAGTCAACAGATTAAGATATTTGATATCTTAATTTTCATATGAGCTGTAAAGGAAAATATTTATTACACAGTGTGTCCATAAGGTCCGTGTGCAATTTAAAATACCTGTAACTTTCTAACTATACATGATAGAAACAATCTCCAAAAAGGTAAGTAAGTTAGATATGTCTAGTTTTTCTTATCTTCGAAAAATGTAGTTGTTTTACGAATTAATTTTAATTCGACTTCTTGAAACTTTAAAATGACTTTTTGTTCTTTTTGCAAAATTGAGGAAATGTGAAAAATAATGTTTATTCAACTAAACCTCGATCTTTACAGGAATTGCAAACTAGGATAATTGATGTGATTTAAAGTATTACTGAAAATCAGCTGCAAAATGTTTTCTGAGAGCTACAGAATCGTCTTACCCTTTGCATACATAATGATGGGGGGGGTATGTTGAAAATTAACAATTCCAATAATAAATTTAAATACGTCTTTTTTTTATATTATATTTTATTTGTTTTTGCTTCTATCATAAATACATAGCTACAGGTATTTTAAATTAGTCGGACTTTATGAACAACCCATATATTAATGTGTTCGGAAAGTAATTACGTATTTTTCGACGTTATGAATTTTGGGACAACCACCCTAAACAAAATCGAGGTTAAATAGTGGAAAACTGCGTCTCGAATTAATCTTTCATCTCTTCTATCCGGCAGTGTATCGTTTAAAATGCATTTCAGTGTCTAATCCGATGGACGATTATAAATTTAAAAACATATTTATCATTGCTTACTTTGCTTACTTTAAGAATTCCGAAAGTGTAGCACTATTAAAGTGGGATTTAAAAACATTTGTGCAATGAAGGCTAGACAAGAAGAACGGACTAATCAACTGTAAGATGTAATATTAGTCATTAATAAGAGGGAAGATGTCAGCTACAAAATAGAGACGTTAGAACTAAATACAGACATTTATCTCTTTGGCAAATGGTATAACAGAGATCGAAAAATGTGACACAGAAACCCGAAGGCGCATTGGAACAGCGACAGATGCATTCCCAAAGCTAAGCAAACTGTTAAGAAAAAGAAAAAAATGTTAGGCACAATGGAAAAAATGCTGAACTGCATAATATCCATCTTCCTATATGAGAGTGAACGCTGAATGATTTCCTCACAGCTGAAGAGTCACTAGGCAACAGAAGGATGTTGATAATAACAGGGACGGAAAATAGGAGCAACGTGGAGGCTTTAAGGAAAATAAGAAATCTTGTACTTAAAATCAAAAAGAGGTAGTTGATATTTCTGTCATACATGATAAGGAAAGAAGGCTTGGAAAATTTAACTCAAAAGACATACTGAGGGGGCAAAGAGAAATGGCGAGTAACCTACCTAACGAGCCTGTGTAAAAGGCAGGTGCTGGGAGGGATAGTAAGGAAATAAATATTGCTTAGAACTAGAATGGATAGGAAGCCATGATCGTCTACGCCTTGAAGAGACACGGCACAAAGAAGGGCCATTCTATAATGTATTGAATTCGGTCCACTTACACCTGTCTAGGCATGTCGTCGTCATGGAAGAATGGATTACTTAAATGTTTATTCACCTACTGTCAACCATGTCAATGACAAGACATTTTGTCAAGAGATCCGGTGACACTCAGGATTTATAATCCATTTGTGGTAAATGAACATAAATGGTCCTAGTTGATATTCGAACTTGGTTAGCCAGTTCTTTTTTCCGTCACGTTAACCCACATCTGGACGAAAATTATCCTACGCAATTCGAAAATTCTATCAGGATTCGATCTGAAAGCAACTTAAATTCTAGGAACATCTTTTATGTAATGTAATGACTGGCTTTTCGTTTCCGAACATATTCGTTATTTGATAATGAGGTTTTAATTTTAATTCAGAAAAATTGAATTATCATCGCTTTCACCAAATTAAAAAATACGGAAATGGTTTCAACAATTTACCAAATTTTGTTATTTTTAGTTAAAGCGACTTAATTTCCGACTGCTTATAATTATAATAATTTAGAAGACACTGCCATAGAGCAATGGCTACCGAGCTAATCTCTCAGGTTACCTGTAGCGAATTCTATCCTCATTGGTTACCTAACAGTTGGGGCCTTCCGGTAGACGATGATGCTTAAGTATCAATAGTTAGCTACGCTTAGAAAATACTATTAATGATAATAATTAAGTGACTTGACTGTAAGTATTTACGATGAATAACTGTTTAGGAAGACCACTGATGTGTGGTCTTGTGCGACACAAAGTAAAACTAGGGAAATAAATTGATATTATTCTGAATTTAAGTATTTTATTATATCGGTCATATAAGATCCATTATTGAAAGTATGTAGCTGGGCAAGAAGTTAAGACCGTTTTTGTTGTTCAATTGTCAAAATTGAACACTTGGAGTATTAATTAAAATTTAAAAAAAATCACTTCTTTATATTCCCACAACTGTCATTAGTCTGATTAAAAAAAAAAGTCAAAATTGACTTCTTTTTGTTTATTGATTCTTGTATTGAATAAAAAATTAAGTAAACGAAATTTTCCACATATGCCTTTTTATTTTAAGAAAGGTATAATAATGCCATTTAAAGTAACTAAAAAAGGTTTGTGCAGTTTATGGAAAAGTTATTAGAAATGATCAAAAAGTGGTTTGCAAAGCATTGTGCTGAACAATACTTTATAGTCAGGACAGCTATCAAAAGAGGACACAATTAGAGAATAAGAAACTTTATATAATGCAGAAGGGAGCCAAAGTGCTCAGATTGTCCAAATTAAGCGTTGGAAATCATTTGCGCCGGATTGTTTATGTTAGTCTTTTTAATGTGTTGCTTCCTCACAAGTTGATAAAAGAAACATAAACGAATAGATCGAGCAATTTGCTTGAGCGATTTGCCACTTAAACATAATGAAAATGAATATTCCGTCTTTTTAAGCAAATTTTGGTGGACGATGAAAAGTGAATAGTTTACAAACACCTGAAACACGAGACAGTAAACGAAGCGAAATAACTTACCAGTAACCATATCTAAGACTAATCTTTGCACAAAAAAGTAATTTTGTATATATGGCAATAACAGAAAAGAATCAAATACTTTGAGCTCCTTCCGGAGAAGCAAATGATTGATTCGAACATGTATTGCTTCCAATCAGTCACTGAAGATAGCAATCGATGAAAAGAATCAGTGATTAAGAGAAAACGTTTCATATGTCATCAGGAAAACGTAAGATGTCTTTTATTTATTCCGGTTTTTATATTTAAACAAAAACAAACAAAAAAACAAAAAAACAAAAACAAAAAACAAACAAAAAACAAATCAAATAACTCGTCTCTTAAAGACTACAAAATGCATATAGAGCAATTATTCGTTGAGATAGAATAAGATGTTTTCAGTGAACGGAGTTAGGAAATTGTCTGAAATATTATGCAAGATAATGGAGTAACATACTATATGTTATTTAATAAAGTTTATTTTTAATTTAGTTCACCCTAAGCAAGGCAGTAAAGCCATCAAGACGCTAGGGGTTACTGAGTGTAGAAGAGTTAGAAACATTGCTAAGGATCGAGAACAAAGGAAGAGTAATCAGGAGAACAGCAGATAGCGATTATCATTGTATTTAAATTTTTGCAGATTAAAGTTGGCTGGAAAGTATGGAGCCGGAAGTGAGTTCCAAAAGCGCGAAAAGAAACTGTTAGCATATAATTTTTACGGTTACATCTTGCCAGCTCAATTGTAAATTGGTGAGGCCTGCGCTTAAATTCGAGTCTAGACACATTAATGTCGAAAATATTAAAGAATCTTATATTTAACTTAACCAATCAAAAACCGAATAAGGGAAGAGACATTTAAAAAAAAAGTACCTTTGCAGCTACTCCAAGATCTACCATCAGCCATTCTGACGGAGATTTGTACTTGGCACACCAGCCGTATTTATTGGGCATGTAAACGCGGCCATATTTTTCGTGGCAGAACTTATCCCATTCTTGGGGATAGCTGTTAGAACTCTTAATCTGAAAATCCTTAATTTCTCCCGTCGTCATTCCAAGAGGGCCGTTCACAACACAAACTGAAAAGAAAATACAACGAAAACATAAGTATTGTCCAGCGAAATAAGAATCAAATTGAGCACAATTTATTAGAATTTAGTAAGCATAGGTTAGTTTGGCACAAGGCTACAAGTCAGGGGTATTCACTGAGGACAGAACTCACTACAGTAGTAATAATCAACGTTTTCAAATTAATGTTTCACGGTGAAACACCCCAAAGTACCATATTTGATGACATAGCAAAACCAACTTCTCTAGAACTCTATCCATGTTCTTAAATACCCTATTCAGATCTTTACTGTCATACGAATGTCATGCATTCAACTTGTTCAGAAATGTCTAAACATTTATATACAATCATTTTCCCAGATCAATATTTAACAATTTCATACCAATGAATTTGTTTGGCCTTAAATATAATCCTTCAACAGATTTATAGACTGGCGCTATAGAATCTTAAAGAAATAACAAAATAACAAAAACGCACATCACTTGAAGATTTCCAACAGCAGCAACAACTAAAATGGATAGCTCATATCGTCGTCGGCTTTATCCCATATGCAAGAATTTAATTTCTTTTTTGTTGATCACTTCCTTTATGATGATGGTGTTGATGCTAACGTGTAGGTTCAGGACTAGAAACTTCCAATTTCACTGAATCTTTCTCCAGTCATCCATTCCCTAACGCCGTTTGGCTTTGCGAGAGTTGGTTGAAGATGAAAGAAAATTAAAGTAGAAGAAAGTGCCGATGGCGTGAATGTTTAAATTGGACCCTCAACTTGCCAGGAAGTGACCCGCATACTTGATTTCATGACCTTCCTCTGCAGCACACATGGAATGAGGCATGCAGAATCCAGTTATGAAATAGCAACAGACTGCTGCTAACTCTGTTATAATTTCGTGATAGAATATGTAACTAGATGAGAACGTAAGGTTATAACCATGATGGTGAATTTCCACACAGCCTTAGACAAAAGGTTATGAAGGAAACTCCTATCAGTACGAGAAAGAACGAAAACAGTAAGAAGCTTATTTTTCTGAAAAAACACTTCTTGAGAAGCTTATTTTTCTGAAAAAACATTTTTTAGAGAAAGATAGTAGCGCTATCTATTCGGTGAATGAATGCCGAATGTTTTCTGTATGGAAACGTATGATTGCGCTATTATCATTTCCCCCAATCACAAATAGTATAAAAGGAAATCCCCTTGATCTGATATGCAAAATTGAGATATCCAGTAGCCTAATGACTGCGTGGACTGTCAGAATTTGTCCCCAGCATTTGCAACCCCATAACGGTCTCTTGAGTCTCAAGAGTACCGAGCTAATCTCTGTTGTAGATGCATGCTCAGGCACATTTGTTTCTTCAACACACGCAGAGCCAAACCGATTTAAACTACAATCATGCTGAGTAGACCCAGGCTCTGGGAGAGTGCGCATTATTTGGCGTGATCATTAGTTGAACAAGGTCAGTTCGCTCAAACACTCGGCCACAATGATTTGTGACTTTGTGCTAGCGCAATTATCGCTTATATTCCCAAGGGTTGGTCTGTCTTCAAGTAATCCCAAACGGTGCCGCACACTGAGATCCTTTCCCCAGGCTGATATTATCAAGTTACCTCCTTGACAAATCGACCGTGGTGCGATTCGAACTCGAGTTTTATGGTCGAAATGCTAACTACTACGCACACACTTAACTCTGTAATACACAAATATGAACTAATTTGTTTTTTACGGCTTATCAACCTTTTGCAGGTTATTTAAAGCCAAAATATATTTTAGATATCTTTTGGATATAATGAATGTTTTGGATACAATGATTTACTGATATAAGTCCTACAAATTAACTCATATCTGTAGGGAAAAAAGTTCGATATATACCTTTCCCAAGGGTAAGTGATATAGCGGACCCGATTGTAATTGCAATTCGACTTTCCGGATTTTAATTCTGAGCAGTTACCCATTACACCATCCGCACACCCAAGCTTACAGCATCTGGTATTTCCACGCAGTCACCCATCTAGTTACTGACCAGGTTTGACGTTGCTTAACTTCGGTGATAGTTGATATGGCCATAAGCCAATATTAACTATAAATATTGATGAATGTTATATACCATCAAATAAAGTGTTTAATAAGTTGAGGCTTGTTAGATTACTCTAGGCTAATTTTGTTGAATTCCTAACTACCAGGGAATCACTTGTGTATTAGCCAAAACTTTAACCCACTAGGCCATGGATCTCTTGTTTAATCCCTGTGTCTTGCGTGATAAAAAAAAAGTCACGTTCCTGGTTTAGTCGAAGAAATGAACAAGCGACACTCGAGGCAACAAAAATGTGGATCTACAGAAGGATACTGAGAATACCATTGACCGGACACGTGAGCAACGACGACGTTTTAGAGAAAATGGAAACAAAAAGGACACATACATAGCATCAGAAAGACGCTGTTGACGTTTCTAGGGCACGTAATGAGGAAAGAGGGCTTGGAAATTTTGACACTCATAGGGCATATTGAAGGCAAGAGAGACAAGGGGAAACTGTGTATAACCTATCTAACCAGCTTGTGTAAGTGAATGGTAGGGATTAGGCGAGATAACAAAGACAAAATTTACTAAGAGCTACAAAGAACGGGGAATTGTGGAGAGCCATGGTCGTCAATGTCCTGAGGGGACAAAGAACACAGTATGTTACTTCTCTAAACTGAGCAATTTTTTCATCTGAATATCACGTTTAAATCAGGATCTGCTTCTTTTTTTTTTATTAAGGTAAGAAAATGAGCCAGTGGTTTTGTACCAGCGAAGGAAACAGTGATACAAAATGAGGTTAGCGAAGTAGTTCCTCGCTACGTGCAGGATGAATCTATTCATATATCACAGTCGCTCATGTTTTTCTCGTTACGAGCGATAATTTACAAAATACTCCTTTCCTTTCGCAAAAGCCGTGAACTGACAAGAGAGAAAATGAGAACAGTACAATCTTGATATCTAATTATTAAAAGAAAGTAATTAAATAAATGCAATTACCCAATATAACTCCTCGTTTCATTAAATGTAAATAGGAACATTATGTGTTTGTAAGCAATAACAATGTACTCCAAATTCCGACTGGATGAGCATTTTATTACAATATATATAGGTCGAGATCTTTTGACGGTGAGATCATTTAATAAATGATGTCATCATCAAGAGATCTCGACCTATATATGTTGCAATCAAAAACACATCAGTCATAATCAAAGATACGGACTGCTTTGGAAAGATCTACCATTGGTTGTGGAATGTCAAAGAAATTTCCCTGAAAGTTAAAATTAATGTATAACCGAGCTGTAGTGATTCCAATTTCTTTATGGCTTCGAACCAGAATCGTATTCACTCGCTTGGTGTCTTCCATAAGCGATCACTCCGTACAATATGTGGCAATACGATGGAAGGCCAACTATCTAATGTTAATCTGTTTAAAAGTGCGAATTCGGCGGCAGAGAGACAGTTCTAATGCAATCGCTGATCTTGTTCGCATGAGTGATGAAAGCATACCGAAATTATTTGTGTAGAGCAAATTGCATGTCAGTTCGCAGAAGTTTGGAAGACCCCTGTTGAGGTATAAGGATAAACTTGAAACAAGATTTTAATTTTATCGGCGTCACTCTGTCGTCTTTTGAGGAAGTGGCATCCGATCGTGCTGAAATGGGGGAGTTTATTTATAAAAGGTATAACAACATTTGAGAGGTCACGAAATGATCATCTCCGTATTAAAATAAAAGCCGAATCCCCCCCCCGAAAAACAAAAACGCTCTATCATTCCTGCAACATTCACAGGGGGTACTGTTATTTGTCCGGCATATGGAATGCTGTGTGAACCTTAAAAGTCATCGAAGGCAAAAATCACAAGTAGGACATCAAAGAATGAATATTGCTGTTGGGACTCATACGTCTAAAACGACCGGAGAATCCATCATGTAAGTCGAGAAGTACGAACAAATGTTTACAGAAAACAAATATATACATATCACAGAAAACATTTAAAAGATTCCTTACTGAAATCACTTTTTCTGCTCAGTCGATGTAGGGAATGATTTACACAATAAAATTGGTATTAATTAATCGATGTTGGTAAAGTTTTCAGAATATCAGTCAATTAAGTGCCATACATGATACTAGCTTGGGCGATGATGCCGCTTTCGATACATGACTGACTAGGTAGAAGATTTTCCGGCAATAATGTCGCTTCTTTCTACGTTAGACTGGTTGCAAACCAAGGCTATAGAACCCAGTCTTCTTTTCTGGGTGGAGAAGAGATGGGTTCATACTTTACGTATCTGCGTGTAAGTAAACGTAACGACCCCAACTGGAATTCGAACTCGGCTCTCTGAGTTCTCATTCCGAGCCGATATCTATTACATTACAGGGATATATTATGCGAGTTTCAGCTTCTATTATCGATCTTTATTAAAAGGAATTTCTTCAGAAGTATCAAGTTTATGATGCAAATACAATATATATTTTTATTTTTAAATAAACTCAAATTTATAGACTATGAAAACACTTGATTGACAATAATTCATATCCATTAAATATTTATTTTACATGTTAATATGGCTTCCTTGATATTCTATAACCATCAGGATTTCATTAGTTGATTTTGATAATTTTTGTATAGTTTTGACCTTTAACATTCTTCTTCTATGTGCTGTGTCCCTTCAGGACGTTGGTGATCATGGCTCTCCACAGTCGCCTAGCCTTTGTAGGCTCTTGTTGTCTTTTTGCCATCTCTCCCATACCTTGCTCCGCCATCTATTCGTTCAAGCCTGCAAGGTAGGTAATGCATTGTTTTCTGTCCCTCATGCCTTCAATCTGCCCTGTGAGTATCAAATTTTCCAAGCCCACTGTCCTCATGTACCACAAAAATTTCATCTGTCTCTTCCTGATCTTCTGTCTATATTTCTGAGACGAGGCATTTATACTATTTACATTGTTCAGACTGTTGTCCTCATTTTTGTCATATTCACAACGTTTCTGCCGTTG